AAAGAAAAGCTTTTCCTCAGCTCAGTAAATAATTACTACATTAATTATGGCATCAGTTCATGTCTCTACACTTCAATTGACTGTTTTTAAACACAACAAAATCACAGCTTAAAAATAAATTATAACAATCAAGAAAAAATTGACCCTTCTTGGAATCAAAGCAGACTGGACAATACAAGCAAGCCATGGGTTTTCTGAAAGCCAAATTAATAGTTCTGGAGCATCCCAAGTATAAAGGAACTGACAATTTGTCTCATGACCTGTCAGGTCATATCTATGGCCCCTGAGCTGCTATTATCTTTGTAGCAATAAAATGCACACTTCTAAGAGATAAGGCTTCACACCAAGAACTACTGGTGCTTCCAGTGCTTTAATTATTCTTCATACACCCTTTTTCACCACATACTCTGGTGATTTTCCTCTTGAGCAATCAGAATTCAGAGGAAGTATCACAAGTTAATGTACAGCTGTAAAAAGACAGACTTGTGCATTACACAGATGTAAAAACCATACTGCAAACTTCATAATGCAAGAGGTTTGCGAGATGCCATTACACACATCTTCCACCAAAGTGCTGAAGTTTATGTCTCCCAGAGAGCATTTCAGAGCACCCAAAGGATTGCTGACCTTCCTACAACAGTCTCACGCATCTCCTAAATGGGGCTAAATCATACTATACTCCAATACATAGCCTTGTTTTTCTCAAATATTTTTTTTACAATCCTTACCATACCAAATTCTACTAAATTTCAGTTTTATCATACCTCTTGAAACCGAGCCTTGTCTTCTGAGCTGCTTTAAAAATTACAAGTTCTGCAAGGACCAGTATCGGGTTTTGGAACATATGAGGTATACACAAAAAAAATGACATAGATAAGGGAATTACGCACACATGCAAAAAGGGAGATTCAGAAGCTTACAGTTAGAGACTTACATTTTGGAAAATGTATATATGTTCATTAGAAATTTTGCTGCAGTGCCCTACATCTTGCCCAAAAATCTTAGTACATTAAGCAGTGAACAAAACTACTGAAAATCACCTTCAATTTAGAATACTGCTACCCTTTAAATACGGAATAACTCAGAATGGAGTTATTCCTTTTAAAATGGAATAACAGAAACTTTTACTTGCTGACTGTTACTCATGTAACCCAATAACACAATTCACTTTTATTTAAAAATTTACTGAATTTCTATAAGCAAAGGCTCTTCATACTCACTCCCAAATAACAGGATATAAATGTTCCCTTTAGTTCAAGGTTTTGAAGAGACAGAATATGGAAAACCATACACAATTTAACTGGATTCCTCCAAATATTACAAAGCATTTAGGAGCCATAGATGCAAATTAAAATCAGATTCACACTTGAAAAATTAAATTTGAATAAACAGATTTTTTTCAAAGGTTAAAAAACAGGAAAAAAAAAACAAAAAGGAGGAGGGGAAAGGGAGATAATTAATTTGATACATATTTTGGGACATACTCCCAAACGATGCACAATTCAGGCAAGCTATGTTTACTACATAAGTACCAAATACAACCCATTGTTTCCCAAAACACAGTAGCCTTCCTACGGAGGACACAAAAGGATCTAGAACTCTAAAGAAGCTAAAACTGGAAATAATGAACACAGGATTTAGTATTTACTGAACTGCAGATGCACTTAGCACTGATTTTAGTTATGCAAACATCAGATTGAGATCACTGGATGAAAATGGACTTCCCTATGCTCCTTCCCCTTGCCTTTTTTTCCACCTATCACTTCCCCTTTAGTTTACTGATCTTTGTCTAAAAGGATCACTGTTCATCCAGCAACACAGGTGTTTCCTCCAAAAACATTTTCTTTATTCCAGACAAATGTCAGTCCTTAAGTGCAGTAATTTGGTATAGGGTGATTCTTCCCTTTTACACTGTCAAATCAAAAACTTGAAAAGTCTTCCTTAACATCTTCAATTTCAATACCCTAACTATGGTTCTATAACACTCCAAAGGATTAATGTCTTGAAAATATAACACTTGGCTGCTTAATATATGCTGAATTCTTTCCTGCTATGCAAAGGAGAAAACGTTTGCAACACCCTGGTGGTGTTGGATACCCTTTCACACCAGGTTTACAGCAGTATCATCAGCCTAATTATAGCTTCAGTCCTAAAAAGAGAGTGAGTTGGGGCTTTATTTCATAAAGGTATTCAAAAAACTTTCAGTGAGACCACTGTCTATGTAAAGAAAGAGCTCAGTACTAATTCATTCACAGACTTCCTCCTCACTGCACCACACACTCATGATGTCCTACACAAAATACCCCACCAGATAACTGTCCAGGAAACTGCAGAAGTTTCCATTCACCTTTGGTTTTAAAGTAAATTTTTAAGTCTTTTAAAAATCTAAGTATTTCTCTCTCAATGATCCTACACCTACGTCACTGGTGAAGAAATACTGCTACTCTTCCTTCAAAATCTATGCAAGAAGCCAAAACCAAGACTGTTGCCAGAAATGAGTAGTACTATTATATAATTTAGGTGGCAAGACAGCAACGAATTCTCTGAATCTGATTAACCATGACAACTGTTTAGGCAGGTAAATATGTTCACTTGATCAACACTTCATCCTCGCAATGGTACATCTAAACTAGTTCTTCCCACTTATGAAAAAATTTGATTTGAACACAGGTTGGTGTGATAGGCAGAAATCAAACGCCTGATCAAAACAGACTCAGCTGTAGAACTCTGTATCCATTGTATTAAGCAGTTTTTGTCTACATCACAGGTGTAATTCCCACTTTGTGACTTCATTTCAGTCTTAGGCCTTTTAAGAGCAGGGATTTTCTGTAGAGAAAGTCTGAAGGATAATTTCCAGTTCCAAATATTTTTGGCTCAGAGACCAGAGCCTTTGTTGCTCTAAGGTGAAACACTCTCAGCTGAAGCTAACAGAAACTGAGTGAAAGAAGAGACCTTTAAAATCAGCTACTGTTGGCTTCCCTTTGAAGTGATCTTGACTGCTGTAGCATGTTTCACCTCTCACATCCTACTTTGTACATCCTCCTGCTTAGGTCCAACAGCAGGATTATGTACAAATTACTTTAAGAACAGAAGCGAAAGATAAATTATATTTTCATGTATTTCATCTTGCCAACCTGTTGCCCTTATGAAATTCAGGCCAGAAAAATAATGCTTGTAAGATTCCAGCTACTACGTATTACTTTTCTGCTGATGGAGGTCATCGACTGTCTTTGTATCTAACTTGTTTTCTTTGACGAAAGCCATTGGGTTTGCAGCCATTTTCCTTCTCTACATTAAGCCCAAGCCTATTTCTAACACATCCCTTTGAGGATGAAGAGGCATGACATCTGCATTTTACAGACATATCCACCTTCTCAATTCCACATTTCTAATGAGTAATTAGCACGTGATTATTAAAAAAGCTTCACAATAGGTCAAAAAGAGATCAAGTGCCCATGTTAATTACAGAGGTTACATCTTCCTCAGGAGAGCATTAATGCATGAGGTAAGCCATACCAGCTCCCACACACATACACGAGGCATTAGCTTTTGCTGAATACTTATCATAACATCATATTAAAATACCAGATCAAGACAACTAAACTTTCAAATCATAATGGTATCATATGCTCACCTTTTTCACAGAAAATAGGAAAATTTTCTACTAAACACTAAGTATTGCCAGGAAATAGAATGTGACTATATTATAATTATTTCTACAGCTCTTGCATACCTTCTACTTTCCTCTTCATCAGCAGTACTAACTGGTTGCACAGTAATTGTTCCCACTTCCTGGGAAGCAAGTGTTGAATGGTGTAAAATCCTGAGCTAACATTGCATCATTGCTTAGGAGTTTATACAACCTGCTAATTCAGGTCTGGAACTGTAAGCCGATTTCTGTAAAGGTCTCGAATACTGCTATAAAAGCTTGTTTTCTCCCTCTTGGGATAATACCCATCTCCCTGAAACCTCTGGTACAACCAGAAACAGTGTTTCCATTCCTGTTAGGAAATGCTCTCAAGGAGTGAAGCTATCAACCGGCTTGATCTGATACAGCCCAGTTCACTCAGCATGCTGCAAAAGGATTCCAAGAGTGGCAATGGTCTGATTTTCATGTTACTGATCTTGCAGATGTTGTTATCACGGCAGCTTTTATGAAAGCCTTTTTGCCATTCTTCTACTAATTCTTGAGCTTAAATTTTGTAAATTGTCCAGTGTTGAATGCACAATATTAGCGAAGTTAAACAAACAACTTTTTAATCTCTCCCACACTCCCTACCAGGCTCAGTGAAACTGATAGTTAAGTACTTGCACAGGACTACAATACAGCTTGTAAGCTTTTAGTAATGTTTACAAATGTTGCTATTATTTTGGAAGCTACACAAATTGCACATTACCATGCATCAACAACCAAACCACAAGTCATTAAAGCACAGAGCTTAGCCATGGATATTAAACCAGATCAGCTTGTCCACCCCTTGTATCAAAACACAGGTAACACTTGCTTCCTTACCATTAAACCAACACTGTCTGCACAAAATTGAGAGGGTTTTCTTCAACACCTTCACAAAATACAGTCACACTCCTAAAAGCCACTCGCCTGAAGAAGTTGCATGTAAACCACATAGCTGCTTTAACAATAATCTTGGTTTCATTAAACCTGATGCAAATTTCACCACTGCTGTCAGTAGAAACAGCATTTTCTACCCCTGAAACAAGGATCAGGTGAAAGAGAGTGGTGAGGCTGCCTTAATTTTTTCCATTTTCAACCAGAGATTTGGACATTAGTCATAGCTATAATTTCACCTCTTCATGTTTCTTGGGTTTTTGACAGATTTCAAATCAGTTGATTCAACTCTAAGTCCGGTTTAAAACGCTTATATAAGTTCCTGGCATTTGTACTTTTTGCTATGCACTTTTTGCCCACAAACAGACTGTGGGGAAAACACTCCAAGTATAAAACCAAAGCAAACTTCCTGGTGACTGTACACAAGCCTTACCTGCATCATGGTAACAACGTGACAAGGATTTAGGAGGTAAATGACAGTCCTAGTAGCAAACTTGAACCCCATCTCCAGCCCAAAGATGAGACACAGCACCACCAGCAGCACATTCTTGCCCAAGCTCTCCTGCTTAGTCTGGGGCCGCTGCAGCAGATGATCCTCCAGGTCCCTCAAGTGCAGCTGCCTGAGTTTCCAGAGGGACAGAAGGATCTCCACGATTCCCACACTGAGGAAGACCACACTCTCCACAAGACGCTGCTGCCCAGAGAGAAAGGCCGCGCACTCTGGCCCCCCGTTACCAGCAAAGCTGGGGTCCACACCCCCATACATCCAGTCCAGGAGATTATGGAGGCTGTAACGAGACATGGTGGGATGGTGCCTCTTCTCCTCCCTGACACTGTCCAGGAACAGGTAGCAGCAAGATGGAATCCAAGCCAAAATGCTGCCGGGCTGATGGACCGTGAAATGCAAGGACGGCCTCTGTGTAGTCCCCGTCCTCCCTCAGCTTCAGGAGAAACGGCTCAGCTCGGGGCGAGGCTCATTTTTGGCTCTTCCTTTCGGTATCGGGACACGACCCTCAAGCCTGCGAGAAGGGAGGAGCCACAGATGAATGGAGCCTACGAGCAGCAGCGAAAGCCCCTGGCCTCAGCACTCCTTCCTCTTCCCGCCTGGCCGGCCCTGTCTGTCCGCCTCCTTCGCGCTCCCGGCTCTCCTCTTCCCTCCGGACACCGCTATGAGCCGTCCCCCCTCAGCCCGCCCAACGGCTCTCCCGCGCGCCCCAACGGCCGCGGCTCGCGCCGCGCTGGGCCCCGTACCTCGCGGCGGGGGCGGGCACCGCTCCGTTAGGGTGCGCGGCGCGGCCCAGCGCCCCCAGCCATGGCGCCGGCCCCGGCGCGGGAAGGGAAGGAGGAGGAAGAGGAGGAGGAGGAGGAAGCAGCAGCGCTCCCCTCAGCGGCGGCACGGCAGAGAGCACAGCCCTGGGCGGGCGGGCCGCTCCCCGCCGCCTCCCGCGGCTTTCCCGGCCCCTTCCCAACGTCTTAGCATCACCCCACCGACGTGCCTGACTCACACCGAAAAATGGACGAGCCCCCCCCCCGAATTGGCTGCGCCCGGCCGCCCGCTCCGCCCCGGCTGCTCCCGCCTCCCTCCGCGGCTGGCTGTACCTCAGCGGGCAGTGCTCGTCTCTCCCGCGCTCCCCGGCTTCCTTCTCCTCTTACCTCTGCCTTCACCCGCTGGCTCTCCTCACATGCAGCCACCCGCCCGGCTCCGCTCTGTGCCTCCTCCGGAGGGGAAGCCGAGGGCCCGGCACAGCTTCCCGCTGCTCCCCGGCCAGACGCGAGCCAGCAAGAGGCGTTAACTCGCTGAACGAGTTCCTCAAGTGCCACTGCAGCGGGGGTTAGTCGGCCAAGAAACTGCGGCCATGAAAGGCCAAGCTTGAGAGGGGAGCGCAGCCCCGGCCGTTGCGCCGAGGTGATGTACTCTGTAATGTACTCTGTGATGGTCTGCGAGCCTTCCGCAGTGGAGGCCTGGCTCCCGCTTTGTGGCTTCGTGAAGCAGCTGTAGTGCAAACACAAAACTCTGTTCCCATCTGAAAGGCAAAGGTAGGTGAAGAGCCAGAAAGTGCGTTAAAGGGGTGTTGTTGAGTTACTTAGAGCTAGGAATGGAAGCACCTGAGAGCTGGCTGCAGATTTTACTTCATATAACCTGCTCCTTGCTCCCCCCTCCTTGGCCGTGCCGGGGCTGCCCTTCACCCAGCAGCACTATGACAGCATTGTTGCTGGCCAAACCATTGAGCCTGTTTAATTGAAAAGAAAAGCTCAGTCTCCCCATAAGTTTTAAAAGACCAGGCAGATACGCCCACTGGCTGAGTGGAGGTGATTTCCATACAGACAGAGAGGCAGCAACACCTGGTCTGTAAAGCTGGAAGCATTATGTGTGTGCCATCCTGCTGTGAAAGAAATGACTCCTTTTAGGGGAAAGAAAGGGGACCCAGCAGGCTTTTCCAAGATTTGCAAGGGCTCCTTTCCATAATTAAAATTGATAAGAATTCCTCTAGAAAACGCTGTTTTCTCAGCCATTGTTGATTCATTAGAACACCTCTCATTCATTTTGATTATGCACAAACCTGCTGCAAAAAAAAGGGAATACGAAGAAGCTGGATGCACAACCTGAATAGGTGCAAATGCCTCCCCTGTTAACTGGTCCTGCACATGCCTGCAGCACAGACTTGCTGCATTAACCTGCTTCACAGCCTGAACAATCAAACTAAGCAGCTCAGCACTAACACCAATATTTTGGCAGTTCTTTTCTTCCTCTACTTCCAATAGAGGATGCCGGTGAAGAATAACTGGCTGAGAGTGTGAAAGTGGGCAGTATTTTGCCCACAAAAAAAAGAACATTTGCAAAATGACAGCTTGCTGTCCATGGAAGAGGAAGGAAAAAGAACAGCTAAATAAAAACAGATGTCATGAAAGCTAAAGACTTTAGCAATTAATAGTTAAGATCTCATAGCAAAGAAGTCTAAAGAAAGGAGTTAAGAAAAGGAACAGTGCTTTAGGAAAATAAGTCAAAGGGCTCATTTATCCCAATTATGAGTAAAATAGAAATAGCAGTAAGGTTAGCTTGATAGTGGTGGAGCCAAAGAAATACAGCTTGATCAGTGTAATTAACTTGCATCCCTGAAAAGCTCCTGGGACAAATAATCTCACAAACTATTATTAGCAACCAAATGATAACCAGGGAATGACAGCAGTCAACATGGATCTGTCAAAAATAAATGACACCAGATAACTTGATTTTCCCCTCCATTAAGGAACAGGCGTTGTGGATAACACAGAGCCTGTTGCCAGTTTAATATGGTTTTGACACTTTCATGACATTTTCATTTAAAAGTTAGAAATATGGTCTGGATAAATGCATTGTGAGGTCTATACAGAACTGACTGCATAGCAAGTAGTAGTTCACTGTCAAAAGGAAAGAATATATTGCTGGGTTCTTGCAGCCTGTCTTTAGTCTGGGTCTTTTTGTTACTAACAATATAAATAATGGAACAGAGGACATAGTTATTAATTTTGCAGGTGATACAAAGCTGAGTGGGATGTATTTAAATTTTAAAATAGTCTCTTAAAAAAACTGAAGAATATGTTCAGCAAGATGGAACATAGTTGAACACATTATACTGTGATAAGCCACCTGGTGTAAATCATCACTGCCTTTCCTCTTCCCCTTGCTACTCCTTTCCTCTCCCACTGCCTTCTGCCAGCATAAACTCTTCTGGGGCTCTGTGTTTGACTGTATGAGGAAGCTGATTAACATACAGTTGTAATTCCAGAGGTAGCTGCAACCTGGAGCAGTTTGCTGATCAATTCGATCCTGTTTTGGGTCATGGTGAGGGATGAGGTGACCTGCTGATTTCTTGTTTTGCTGTGATTTTCCACTCATTAGAATGAAGGAGCACAGCTGATATAAACTGGACATCCTGGTGCGACTGATATTTCTTTGGAACAGCACAATGTTGTTAATTCATATTCAGGTTGAGAGTCCCTATAAATCCAAGAGATCTGGTTCTCTGATCTTCATCTGCTGGGTGTCTTAGGCACAGTTCCTCCATTTTCTCTGTTCCAGTTTCTTCCTCTTCTTTGAAAAGTACTCTGTAATCTGTGAATGAGAATTCAGTGTTATTGACTGAACACAAAGCCATTGCTCTTTTCTGTTTGTTAACCATTTCCTCTTATCCTTTCACTAAGTAATTTAGGCTGTAAGACCCATTGTAAACAAATATATCTCCTATGTCAACAGAAATAGTTCCCTAAAAGCAATAAATTCCTGTAACTAAAATGCTTGCACAAAAGCCTCAGGCTTGTTCTTGTATCTAACATGAGATTTATTTTTCTGTCTGTGGCTTCTGGAAATACAAAATATATATAAAAAGTGAAACTAATGTTAATCTGTGAAGAAATGCCAGGGCCTTGAGTGTGCCAGTAGGCCTTAACCACCCGAGCAGCCTTGTGTGGGGCTCCTACTCACAGCCCATCTGCCTGGGAGCTCCATGGCTCTGGACCAGTTCTCACCCAAGCCTTGACACAACTGGAGCCATAAAGCCAGACTGGAGCACTCAGGGCCCTGCCATTTCTTCATGGGTTAACATTGAATTTCACCTTTTTATGTATTTAGGAAACAGTCTTCCAACAGGGTGGCTAAGAAATGCTATTGAGCATAACTAAAGAAGACTTGAAAAGAGAACATGAAACTTTGCCCTTTTGCTGCTCTTGAACATGACTGGAGGAATTCCACTGCAACAGGTAACTCCAGGTTCCAACTGGTGGCTATTTTTAGCAGAGACTGTGTGAAGTAATTCAGATTATCACAAAAGCTGCAACTACACGTGCTGTAGGTGTGAGCACACCCTTGTGGCTAATACATAATGACTCAAACTTGCCCAACCTTAAGGTGAATCTAACCTACAGTCAACACCCTGACCTAGGGAATGTCTAACACTAGCCACATGGACATATGTGATTCCAGCTTCTCAACATGACTGGCTTTGGTTAAGTGCTGATCACTTGTTTTGTTTTATTGAGCATGAACATGGGAAATCATGAGGTTTGAGTTCCATTTTTAAACAATCTTCTTGTACTTCAGTGACAGTGCAGGAGAACATTAAAAGTAGTCTTCAAAACTCTTTAGGTTAGGAAAAACATCCTCAATATTTCCTTCACTGGTAGTTTTGATAAATGTAACATGCTCAAAAGGAGCAGGAATGAGAAGAAATACCAGTGCTCTCCCTCCTAGGGCACAAGAAGATGCCTCCCAGCAAATCAGCAAGGTGGTATCTCTCTTCTTGCCTACTGATATCAGCAAGTGAAATAATCAAGAGCTAGTGGTTATATTGTCATTGATCCCTAGAGCAAATGTGTCTCTCCCCCAAAAAGAAGATAGATATTATTATTATTATTATTAGATATTATATTATTATTAGGTTGGAACTAGATGATCTTAAGGTCCTTTCCAACCCTATCTATTCTATGATTCTATGATTCCGTTATACTTTTTCATGTTGAATTACCACCAGTTCACATTTTGAAAACTACATTTGCTTATTTGTTTTTTCCTTGCTACAAATCTGTGTTCACAGAGATTCTTCCATCGGTTGTTCTGACTCCCTTCTGTTTAGTCAGATGTTCACGTGTATTTTTATTAATTTAAAGAAAGCCTGTGGTAGTGTAATTGCTGATTTCCTCTCAAGGAATTTTCTTGAGAGCAAGATGAAAAGCTGTTGCATTTGTCATATCTCTCCTTGTCAGATAATTTTGCTAGAACATACACTAGACAATACTGGAAAAAAAGGTAAACATCAGTGTGAAGCATTCAAACTAGAAGCTTTAAAAGCATCTCACCCTTTCATGGGTTTAATCCGATGGACTGAAAAATAATTATATAAAGAACCAACAGAAACTTGTTAGGTGACAACTGTGTGAACCAGCTTGTTGTTGAATCACATTTCTGTCATGTTTGCAGTATTTGACTTATTTTTCCCTTACATAAGAAGCTGCAGTATTAATAGACACAAAACAGTTGGGTGTAAAACCAGGGAGAAATAAATATCATGAATGTGTGAGTTTTGCTTTGAGAGAAAGAAATCATTGTCAACAGCTCATCTGCATATCAATTAATTAGCTTCAACCCATGTTGAAGTTAACAGGCCAAGCAGGACTGTCAGTAACTGTAACACAGGTTGAGGACGCATCTAAGAAATGGTGATGTGTTTCTTTTTAGGTTCATATGTTAGATGAGTAACGGCATTCTCTGAGGTTATTTGGAGCTTGGGGAAAAATATTTTTGTTGAGATTAGTGTAAGAAAAAAGGATCTGCTATAAAACACTTAAAATATGTTCTTCAGAAAATGAAAGTGCCCATCCAGATGTTATTTATGTGTTGCTCTTAAGCTTGAAGTATCTTGAGAATTAACAGAAAGATAACTGCTCTTTTCATACATTGGTAACTAAACGTTAGTTTGAAGTGCTCAGTGATGTTCATTCCCTTTTGTGTTTGCATCCTCTATTGTTTAGCCCTCTTTCAGTTTTCAAGGCATTTGCTTTGTTT